AAGTGGTCGTGGTCGTCACTCGTTTGGTCCTTTACGACAGGTGGGGGCCGGGCGCGTGGCGGCCGGGTCAGCCGCCACAGGAGGTCACAGCGGGGCCGGCAGTGAGCCGCTGCTAATCTACCACAGATGCCCGGGTGCCAGATCGCCAGAGTTCGACGGTAACCGCCGGCGGCTCGGGCAAGTTGCGGCGTCGCCGGCCGGCGCACAGTCGGTTTGATGCCGACCGAGACTTGGCCGGCCGAACGACGCGAGTCGGGCGAGAAGTTGCCCCGGGACGCCGGTTTAATGGAAGATGACGTACACGGAAGATGCCGCCGGCTGCACACATTGCGCCGTCTGGCTTTTAGGCGATTAGCTCGGCTACAGGGCATCGGGCCCAATTCGAGACGCCAGTGACAAATATTTCAGATAGATCTTCTGGAATACCTAGGAAGAGCATAAGGTCATGTTACCAAAGTCCTGGAATATCATATGGCAGCATCGACTCAGACTCAGCCAAATGAATAATTATCGCAGAAAATAGTCAATGCTGCATTCCATTATAGTCCCCAATAAGGATGTTTCTAGGAATAGTCTATAGGTTAGCGATATGCACTAATGGAAACAACAGGAAAGTATAAATAGCACTGTTGCGTTGGCAGCAAGGCACGGGGCATGGTAACACTGGGTGGTACGTTTGTACAGGGTGTTTCACTAAAAGTGTCAAAAAGTAAATGCTTATTAAGGATATATAAAATATGCAAATCACGTGGTTGCGCACGTGGCTTTGTTGCAAATTTTTGGACATTTATCTTTGTCCATTTAAGATGTATTTTACACCCATACGGAGCGAGGGCAGGAGGCCAAAGTTACTACTCGTTTTTTTTCCCCTATACAGATCAAGAACAGGTCATTTACACCTCAACAAGAGGGGTGAATTACACTTACATTTGGTGCCATCAGAAACATTGAAACCGTATGCCGACTTTTCAGGAAACGTTTTACTCTCTCACCTCGCTACGTTCCAGATTATAAAAGTTCAAAAAGGGCTTCTTAAGAGGTTTAAAAGGGCTCCTTCGATGCCAGTTCCAGTCCAAAAAAGGCGGGGTCGCCCCCACCTCTCGGCGGAAACCGTTGAAAAGGTCAGGGTCTTTTTGAGGGCCTTTGAAGATAACAAGAAGCTAATTTCAACATCAGAAATAGCCAAGGCCTTACAAGTTATCAAAAACAACCACTGTGACGGCTGTAGCCACCAGGAACTGGCTGGACCAGAAGTTCCTGGCCAAATAATCAGCTGCCTCACCGCCCGCACCCATGGCCAGCGCGATGCCCTGATCTGTCACCGCTAGACTTCTGGTTTTGGTCAGTGACTCAGTAGCTCTCGCAGAGCTGAGGAAGACTCAAGTCGCATCACTTCGGGAGCTGAAGAGCACAATTCAAGGCTTTGCCGACAGTCTGGACGCTGAATATGAAAACGGGCTGTGAGCCACCTCCGGACACGTGCCGAAACGGTTCATCAAAAGAAGGGGCGGATATGTGGAATAGGTTTGAGTGACGGTGATATCGCTGTTATATATTCAAATGTCCAACAATTGCGGATGAAATGATATGAAAATGTCCTTAGAAAGCATTGTTCTAATAAGCATTATGACCTTTTACTTTTTGACACTTTTAGTGAAACACCCTGTAGGTACCTACTTCAAAATAATACTGTATTGGCACATTGATCCAATTTTAACGCTGATGTGTAGCATAATGGCAGTGTTTTCCTATTTCATCCATATTTTCGAAAAGAGATCGGCTAAATCTAATTGATCTAGGCACTAGAAAAATGTTAATGTTTTTGTTAATCCACTTCTGATCAGGGGCGCGGGAACTACTTTCAGACTGGGGGGCACACCATAATAGAGATCAACCTAGGGTACCCCCAAATCTAGTTTTCTCACTGGTTTTAGGCTACTTATTTTTCATCCCTTGACTTTTCCAACAAAAAAAGAAAACATTTGCATAACTAGTGCGGTATTTCGTCTCAAAGTTGTGGGGGCAGCGCCCCCACGGCCCCAGAGTTGGGGGGGGGGGCAAGCTGCCCCACTGCCCCCCCCCCCCCGGTTCCCGCGCCTATGTCTGATGTACATCCATTACAGCCATATCTAAAAGGCAACATTGCAATACGGTGAGAGAGGAATTTGTCAAATGAGCTAGGGTAGTTATTAACTTCGTGGATAATTTAAAAACCCAGATTGTCGCTATAGTTATTACCGTCATAAGAAAGCCGGGCTAATGCCTTAGACAAGCATTTACTATGCATCACTCTTTCGGTGCGAAAATATCTAAATATATAATAAGCACTTGTGGTAATTAAATGTCTCATATACCAGATTACCTCATGGTTCCTTGGAAATGCATGAATCCTCGAATACATGACATTTTAATGCCCTCCCTTCCCGTGGCGTCTTTTGGTTGAGTAGCTGGGTATACCATCACCAGCAAAAGTAGCGCAATGCGACGGTGCGGCGCTATACCATTTCCCTACATCGTATCATTGTTTGTGTCGGACGGCATCGAACCGATGCGATCCATCGCCGATGGAGCGGCGCGATCCATCGCTCACATCACGCGCAGTTCTGCCGGATCTGACGGCCGACCTGCTGCCCGTGACGCAGCATCAGGGAGGGGGAGGCAGGGGGGGGGGGGGGTACAGCCGTCAGTCTCACCCTGTCATGGACGGCCACTTCGACGGCAGGGCCCGGCGGTCGGCCCGGCTCCACACGACGGTAGGTTAGTCGGTACCCGGTGAACTCTCCGTGTAGGGTGTGGTTGGCCGGCGGCTCCCAGCCCACCTCTATAGACGTGGACGAACGGTTCCTGGCAAACGTCAGCCTCGGAGGAGCTCCGGGACCTGCCGGAGAAAACCGACGGACAGATGGGGGATTAACTTCAGTGCGGAAATACACGGAGAACTCATAGGGCGTCATCACAAATCCACATAGATGTCCAGCCGAATATAGATGGGGATCAAATTAAGTTAGGGATCAGAAATAGCCTACTGCTTACATGACGAGCAAAGACAAACTGATGAACGTAACGTAGGCACTATCGGAGAATTTGCAATCAGATCTCAAGGCGTAACATAAACATGAACTAACGCAGGGGATGTGATTTTAACGGTAGCAGACGTGGACGTAGTGTGCGCATTTACACATGGATTCAAGGCTTGCACGGAGTAGCCCGATGCACGCACGGAAAACAAAGTACACGCTTCAAGAAGGCGATCCTTAAAAGCAGAACAAAGTAAAAACGAGGGGACAAAAACAGTATAGGCAGACAAAAAGCCGACGCATTCACTTCAGAGCAATGCTAACCTCTAATGGAAAAGGCTTCATAATGGTTGATAAAGCTTCAAAGAATATATTAGAAATATTTTTGCCAAATCATTTCCGGGAATCAGAGTTTTAATCACAGGGCATGATGCAGTTGATTTGAGCAAAACATAGAGATCCCTTATTTAAGGATTCATGCGCTAGCTAGAAAATAGTTTGGGACCCCTCTGTTCAGATTCACAACACACCAGTTTCCGTGAGCAGGTTTCTCGGCCGCTGATTGGCTGGACTCACGTTCGCGGAGCGTGCTGACCGGGTAGGAGGCGTAGCCCGGCTGGCTGTGACCCTGTCCGTTGACAGCCACCACTCTGAACGTGTACACGGTGAATGGAGTGAGACCCGTGATACTGGCGCTGGTCTGCGCTCCCTGTGTGCGGTGACCGGCGCTCACAGCCGGCCAGGAGCCGCTGTCTCCGAACCTGTGAACAGAACAGAGAGCGTGGACTGTAGTGAACGTCCAATGGTGAGCAGGCCAACTAGAGAGCGTCATATGTATAAAACGTTGTTTCGACACCAGCTTTGTTATTTTAACGGAAGCCAACTAGAGAGCGTCATACCACAGTCGGCAGTAAGTATCTGGCGAATAGGAGCAGTGAGTAAGACCGGCTACTGCACTGGTCTGCGAGCCGCTTGTGGAATCGGATGGAGGAACGGGATTTCGTTCGAACAACACATGGTCGGGGTAGTTGTTGTAAATCATTGGGTGAGTACAAACTGAAACGGATGTTTCGGGTGGATTACAGAATAAAGTGAGTTTCCAAATATGAATGAAGATTATGTGAGGACACAAAGCAATCCATCATGTCCCATCTAAAGCAAAAAGAGAAAGAAATAAGAATCAGCTCATCCGTGTCACTGGAATAGTGAGCTGATGTTATCATAACAATAAATAATAATCAACGATGCCCTAAAGAATGTATGCACATATCCTAGTGGATCCATTAGCTGTGCAAATGCTCCGCTCATGAGGTGGCATCGTGTGCTCAGCAAACAATGGCCGCTCAGGACCGGCTGGACGGAGCCCGGGATAGAGTCCGCTCTGTCCCGTTGCGCCGGCGCTCCTGGTCGTGTGGTGATTTGCGTGGCACCTCCCACGCCGATTTCGGTTGTTGTTGTGCGCCTGCCACAAACACCTCACAAAGACGACCTACATAAATGGGTCCCGATTCGGTCTGTGAGTTCAAGTTATCCAGGCAAATTGAAATGGCTGGTCCACGCAAACAGGGAGCCTAATTTGGAGACCTCCTCGATCGATACGCAATGGATTTGCCGGTGACCTATGTGTGTCTCTCGCAAAGAGGAATTAATTATTTCAAAGCATCGATCATGAATTCAGTTCGAAGAGCTTTAATGCACTTTCAAACTCAACCATCGATTTCCACCAAGAAAATCCAGTCCTTCTGGAAGTAGTAAATGTACAAATAACTAACTGCTGAACCCACCGGATGACGTTAAAGGCAGTGCGTTACTGTCAATCCCCTCACACATACAATAATTTTCAAATTGCAGCAATTTCGGTCTGTGTGAGCGTCAAGCTCAGCGGTCTGCAGCCGGTCGGCCCAGTGTGTCGTGTCAGCCAATTCCTTCCCGAATTGCCGGCGTGATTTAGGGTACCTTCGCTGCCGGACTGCCGCTCGGCACGAATCGCCTCGCACGTGAGACTTTGCAGCGCCCTGCCCTTCCGACATGGATGGCGAACGCCTCCCCCGCCCCCCGCCATGGCCTGGGTGGCATCTATTGCCACCCCCGCCATGACTGCCCCCCCCCCCCCCTCGGGCGCCGCCGCGCTGCCAGCATCTTAGTCTGATATGACCTGAGACCACGGGGCTGACACACAGGAGCCACGGGAGCCCAGTCGTCGACACAAGATTGGAAACCGGAGCTGAGGAGAAAACTTGGCACCCCGAACAGCGCCCGGGCGGTCAGAGGTTTCGTTTACGACGCCCAGGTGCCGCCCGTGCTGGGATCGCATGTCGGGATCCATTAGAGACGGACCTGGCGCAGCTCCGCCGTTCAGCTCAGCTGTCCAGGCTGCAGATAAACGGCTCCGACTCCGAACGGAGCATTTGTTACAGGCGGAACAACGCACCGAGCAATGGAACGCATCACGGAAATCAGCATTTTGACCTGTCTGGAGAAAGCGCACCAGTCAGCACTTGGTGGGGGTTTTGTAGGAGCCCCGAGCTTACGGGCACCAGCCGCCGCCGCGGGGACCATTGGCACGCGGCGGTGGGCTCCTCCCCCAACTCCTTGGACACATGATTTTCTCTTGGTTTTTCTTGGTTTCTCTTGGTTTCTCTCGTGGTTTCATCGTAATTGTTTTTGTTTCCATTGTTCTTGTTGCGCCGTGATTTCGTCTATGCTTGCGAGCGCGCGCGTTTGCGTCCCTCCGGCGGCGGCGGCGGCAATCGGCACCTGCCCATCCCTCTCGCGGTTCTCGACAGGGATCCCTCTTAAAGGTTGAGGCCCACTCGAGACACATAGCTCCACAAACACACCTACACATTAGCGATATAACGTAACGTAATATCAAAGCAAAGGGATTTTTCCTGTGCAATTCGGCAAAAGCGCACAGGTTTTGCCCTCTAAGATAGGCACCAGGTTTTTCTAGTTAGGACTTTCCTGGTGGAACTCACAACACAACAACAGCACACATTACAACACTACCACATCTCAGCATCAAGATTCAGCAGCAAGAAATGTAAGTACTCAAAATCCCTCTCGGCACTGCCACTCTGGCACCCTTTCTGGCTTTCCCTTGCACTTGCTTCCACCGGACGTCACATGAGCCGGGCTAACGTAAACTTTGTTCTTAATATTGCCTTGGGCCGGAATAACATAGCCGGCATTAAAGTAAAGTAAAACGGAAGATCTGGCTAATTGCCAGCTAGTAACTTCCCCCTACCCCGACCAGGGCCTCGGCCTGTCGGGAGCAAAATTCAAAAAAAAAAAAGCGCTCGCATGCATGCTGGATGTTTTCTGTGCGGGTTTCCTTCCTTTGGAGCTGGTAATGGAAAACCGCGCCTCATGCGCTTGTTCAAGAAAACAAAATGTTTCGTATTATGTAAGTTGAACCAGCACAGCCAAAGTGCAATCTACGTGAAAAGATACATTTGGATTTTCGTTGGCCTCTGGTCGTTTCAATGCAAGACACCGAGCTTTAATTTGAATATCGTTCAATGCAGTCAGGTGATCATGTTACAAATAAAAATTGATGATAGATGCTGTAAAATGACTGCATGAACTTGCTCATTTGTCCTTGAAAATCGTGTTCATATTTCATACTGAAGCCTTCATATGGCCTCAAATCAATTTCTTATTTCTCTCATCCCTCTCTCTTTTCCCCCGCCCCTCTCTCTCCCTCTCTCGGCTAATCTGCTGCCGGCTCAGATGCAGGCCGCACCGTTCGGCGGTGATCGGTCACGTGACCCGCCAATCGCCACCCACAGCCCCTCTCAGGTGGTGGCGCGCTCCAGTTGGCGCCAAATTTGGCTCCCGCCGCGCGACGGCGGCACGCCATGCTGCCGAACAAAATGGTAACGCCGCCACCAATACGGGATATATGTCCCCAATATCACGAGACGGGTGAGGGGGTGGGGGCGGAAGGGGGGGGGGGGGCGGTGAGGGGGCGTTGGGCTGAGCAGTGAGCCCGATCGGCTGTTACTCAGGTGTGAAATGGTGACAGGCATAATGGCCGAATCAAATATAAGAGCCCGTTATCCGACGAAACAGAACCTGCGCGACGCTAGAAATTGAAGCTAAACAAGCGAACCGCTATTAGTGTGTAAATAATGATGTCATAAATTGCTATCGAGAAGCTCATATAGGGTCGACAAATCAGACACGTATAATTAAACAAGTCGGCGTGAAATGGATGGCGGTGGCGGAAATTTCGGCACGCGCTCACTCGGTGGTGCCGGTGTCGACCTTTGTGCAGCAGGAGCGCCCGTGTTCGGCTGTTGTAACTAAGCACCTCCTGTGGGCTCTGCACTGAAAACAAAATGACACAAAAAACGACTAAAAACGCACAGGCAGAGCGTGTTAACTAGGCTTTCTTGTGTACCCTGCATCATGCATTTTTTGACCCGTCACAGACGTGTCAATTTACAAATGTGTTAACCCAGTCGTGTTGTGTCCTAAAACACAATATCATTGTGTCTTCAACACATAAGGCTTGTGTGAATACATTTGCAGAATACAAGGTAAATGTGTTACTAAATTTAACACAAATCGCAAGTGAAAGAAGGAAACACGTGGTGATTATGTAGTTTGTTGCCGGGGCGCAGTTGAAGGGACTTTGGCTTTGGCTGGACAGGCTGACTGCCAAAGCCGGGCCCCGAGTGGAATCGGGCGCTCGGGTGCGGTCAGGGCTGAGTACCCGGCCGGCCGACCCATACGGTCAGGGCGCGGTCAGGGCTGAGCACGCGGCCGGCCGACCCATACGAGGCCGCCGACCCATGCACGAGCTGGAGTTGCGCCCGGTCGGCCACTTCAGAGCCGAAGGGTGAACGCGTCACGTGGACGGCTCAATCAGAGCACCAAGTGACGATGCCCCAAATTGGAGGACTACTATACAATACAGTTGTCCAGACAGCCGGGATAAATTTACAGCCACCGATTTTTTCAAATATATCCTATATAGACCGAGGAGTTTCTTCCTCCAAGCAGACGTTAATTAGCTATGCTTCAGCTTGCACTTGATATAATCAGCGCATATTGCTCTAGACAATTTATCATATATCGACTCCCTCGGCTGTATTGTGCATTTTGACCTTTCTCAAAACACTTTGGCAAATTTTTACAAAAACCCAGCATAAAAGTCGGTGCTCGAAAAACGCCCTCTATTATCCCCATCTGAAGTTAAGGCTCAGAGGTCGCTCACTGGTGGATGGCACGGTGTATTTGTGCAAGGGTACACGTCTACCATATCCGACAACACATGATTTCGATACACTGATGCATCACATTCGTCCAGCGTGCTTGGCACGATCAAATTGTGTCATTATTCTGTTTTATGTGTTATCAAACGTGTCGAAGGTCCCGCCAAGCGTGAAAATACTCAGCCGTATTGTGTTTTGGGTGCGGTTAACACATGACTGATGTGTTACCAGTACAGAACATGCCCTCACTGTGTCGATTTGTTTTCAGTGTGGCCGCCCACTCACCAATGGCAGTAAGGGCTACAGGCTAGTGCCGCCCAATGAACAACGCAAGAGCGTGGCTGACGGTTGATGCATCAGAAGAGAGTTCTCTCATCAGATAAGCATCTTTGGGGTTCCACGACTTTGTTGGCGAGTTCTTGAGTACCCTGTCCCTAGTAAATCGAATATTCACTTCTTGCGTTATGCTTTTCACATAAATATTTCATTATTATTCAGATTGCAGGGTTTAGTCAATCATATCCAATCCACATTCAAACACGCATATCGGCTTTTAACTTCCCTAAGACCGCAAAAACACATCTGAATTGCAATGGATCACAGCCGCTATCGCTTGGCAGTGAGTCGGGGAGCCGCGGCTCGGAACTATTTTATACAATGTGTACCGCGGTACGACAGGCCCCACTATTTCACGCGGCGCGCGCCATCATTGGCGCTGTTTACTTCGCGCCGCTATCGTCTCCCTTGCGCCATTCCGGTGTATATGTCGGCATCGTTCTCGCGACAGAGACGGAGAAAATGATGCATTGTCAATGCCTTATCAGTAGAGCGTTCGTTCGTCGCCGCCAGGCAGCTGCGGTGGGCAACGGAGAGAGAGAGAGAGAGAGAGAGAGAGAGAGAGAGAGAGAGAGAGAGAGAGAGAGAGAGAGAGAGAGAGAGAGAGAGAGAGAGAGAGAGAGAGAGAGAGAGAGAGAGAGAGAGAGAGAGAGAGAGAGAGAGAGAGAGAGAGAGAGAGAGAGAGAGAAAGAGAGAGAGAGAGAGGGAGAGAGAGAGAGAGAGAGAGAGGGGGGGAGAAGGGGACAGTGGGAGAATGGTGGCAGTTGCCGGGCTGGGATATATCATGAACAGCTGAACAAAAAATAACAAAACAAAAAATGGCTCTCCCTAGATAGCATCTCATAGCTATAACTTTCGGCCAAGGCTTCATAACTTCTTTCAACTTCATTGATGGGCCGACAGGTTCTTGCGGCAGCGATAAAATGATAAACAAGTGAATAAAAAATCATTATCTATACTACTATTTGAGGAGGGTGCGTCTGTCCGTTACCGGGGTCCCGACTTGGTGGTGCTTTGCGTGGACTACAGGCCAGACCGTTGCACCTAGCCCGCTGAAATTTGCACAACTTATAGATCAAGGATGCGCGACGTGCCTTTGAGGGGTCTCAACTCGATCGGATTGATAGGGAGCGCGTGGCGCGTGCTCAAAAAGTGCAAATTCGCGTCATAGACTTTACATGTATAAATCGGCGTGCGAAATCGGGCGAAAACGGCTAATTTTGGCCGACACGGGTCCGGTTCCCGTGCAATATCTTGGTGACCAGGGGTCCGACCGGCACGGGGAAAACAGCATCGTGTACAGAATTGAACGGGCTATTGAATGGTGTGCAATGCAGAGGATAGCACGCGCCACGTGCACCGGAGAGGGCACTTTTATTTGAAAAATTGCGGTTTTTGAGGGATTTTGGAATTAATTTTATTTTTAGGTGACCGTTAAATGGGGCGAGTTGAATCAACGCCTATTTGCAAGGGAAAGGTACCGCCTCTCATATAAAAATTGTGAATAGCTAATTGATCGACGCCAAGGTGGTACTTACAAATCGCTAGAGAAAATGGTGTTTGTCGATGATGTGCCACTTTATTAATTACACGGGTTTTGCTGCATAACCTGATACGTTTGGCAATTGAAAATGGCACCGTTGGAAAGAGCATTCAATTCTGTCCAAGATTCACTCTTCATGTTTGCATGATGAGCAACAGTATTCTTAAAAATGTGAATGTTCCAAACCATTACATTGTCATTTTTAGCGAAATTCAGCGATGGCCCTCAAAAGACTTCACGCCAGTTTTCGAATCATTCTTAACCTTCGCCCCAGTGGGGGGGGGGGCATATGTTACCACCCTGTCGCGTTTTTTGCGTGTGAATAAAAAACCGCGGCGCGTAGCGCCGCGCCGCTTTGAGTAGCTTTTGGTACATCAATTTTGGACAATGTGTGAAATTTTTGACCCCAGGTCATGTCAGGTCAGGTCACCAGGTCAAGTTAACTGACCAAGCCTAAAAAAAAGTTTGCAATCATGTCCAGCCTGCAGTGTTTGTCAGAAAGGTTTGAAACTTGGTAGATTGTATGCTGTTATGGGCGCCTACAATTTGTATATCTCGGATTTTTTTATATCCGTGACCTAAGGTCAGGTCAGTGGCGTGACCTTTCCATTACAAGTCAATGGAGAAAAATGAAAATGCCTCTAGATCCGTGTGTACGCATCGGAACAGTCCAAATATTTCAGAATCACAATGATTTAGTCCACTCGTGATGACCAAGATGTCATTTTTGCTGATAGCCTCTAGACAGGTCATCCGAGGTCACTTGAGGCTACAAACAGTTTTTTGCCAATAACTCGCGATTGGAAAGAGATAGAACGCTGGGGATGTTCTCATTGTGTTTGTCTTGTTGAGACGCATCGACTGATATGCAGCATGACCTTTTCCGGTAAGGTCATGACCTTGACCTGAGGTCAAATTTTCAAGTTGACCTTTCAAGGTCCAATTATAGTTCATTCGACGCGTCTCGGCGAGGGGAACACGATTCTGGCAATAGAAATGTCGTGGCTTTTTTAAGTCGAAAGTTATTGTCGAAAAACACTTTTCGTAAAAACAGCTATTTTTGGAGTTTTTGCCCTCTGGAGGCTAAACCGTTGACCTGAGGTCAATATTGATAATGACCTTTTCAAAAGAAGAGTTGAAAAGCTATCGTTTGCTTTTCCATGCGTTTTTCTAGCTACCATAGTTCCTGAGATAACGGCATGTTTTCTGAAAAATATAATGACAATTGGCAAATTTTGACCTTTGATGACCTCTGGTGGCCCCAATATTGCTCTAAGGTGAAAAATGACTGAAATACTTTCAAACGTACGCATTGAGAGCTATCGACTGCTTTTTACCGCGTCTTTCTAGCCCTCTTAGTTTTTGAGTTAGAGGTGGGTGGTAACATATGCCCCCCCCTCACTAGGGCGAAGTTGGCTGAGACCGCCACTGGGGCGCGGGTTAAGTAGAACGCATGATAATACGACACGGGCACCTCGATGCGATGTATCTTTTTGTTTTATTACAAAATGCTTGGCCGTCAAAAAGCAATCGAACGAAATGGATACCAACCAAACCGACACAGACCAACCCAATACCCACGGGTCAAAAAATCCCCCCTTCGCGTTGCGGAGCACGCGGGTAACCCTAGTTTTTATCTATTTATAAAAACATCATAACCATACAACCCATTATAACAGATAAAAAATGTACTTGGATTCGAGCTCATAAAAATGTCATGTAGTTAAGCAAAAACGTCTAAAACAAACCTAGTTTAACTGCTATTGATCCATAAATATTTCATAGGTCGCATACAATCATGCAGAAACGATGGATTAGAGTGCAAGACAAATCTTAGACAAAATGAAGCCATGTGCAACTTGTGGTGCGGAGCATTTTCCTTCCAGCGTATTTCATTCACCTGAAATATAGAGCCAAGTATATATTCATGTATCTATCAAACCTGGTCATTTGTACCGATGACGCCACTGAAGTGCGTTCAGCCCGCACGCTACTCATCGTTCTGCAGCATGCTGCTTTACGGTCCATCGGAGCTGCATTGGCAGCACAGACAAGCGGTTATTTTGGGCGACATGCCATTCGATATTAATAATGTAATAAACGAGCTTTCTCGGATAAGGCGTTGGATGCCAGTTTCGTAATAAATGTTCATCAAAACGTCAAAAAAAAAAAAAAAAAAAACAGGAACACAATGCGTGAAAACGTCAACATTTTCGTCGTTCAAGTTAATGATGAAAATATAATTGCGATTAACAGCCGGAGGCATGGTGTCAAATGCATATAAGCATATGGAGCTCAATAGTTCATTCAATGGCGTGGATTCTGCTGTGAAAGCACAAACAACAACCCGGCAAACTACCGTCAGCCATCTACCCAATAAACTCTACTTAATTAGTCGCGTTACTTTTAATTAGTTACACATAATAACTCTCGCAATCAGCTGGCAGTCATCTCATTTGCCTCAAACTATATGGAACTTTGCTCGGTTGCGGATTACCATGTTTATCTGGTAAGTGCAGTAGGTGATATCAGAGTTATGTAGGTATGGGTGTTTTCGTATAATACATCGTGATCCTATGGCTGATATTGCACCTAGAGCGCCGCTTCAACGTGCTTCACCATGCGCTGTTTCATATCAGGACAGCTGCAAGTAGTTTGCGCTACACTCGCGGTTCTCACACCCAGTTCATACACCGTCATATCCCTCAGATCGTCCTGTCTTCTCTTTAAACACAAATTCTGGCCTCTGAGTCTGCCAATTTTTCTCCCATCTTGGCTTCAACAATAGACGCAGTGGTCGTTTGGTCAGGGTTGCGGAAATGATGCTTTCAGGACTCGGTAAACCTGATAAAAGGAACAAATAAAGAAGGATCCACAAACCAAGCCGCTAAATAAAGCGATCTGACCAATGATCCTCTCAGTTTCCCAACGCATTATTTTTGATTAGGGCAATTGTTGTAATTCTAGCGTCAAGTATTGAAGATCGAGGGATGTTATCGGAATCTCTTTCGATCAAGATAATGCTGAACATTAAAAGTGATTGGTTTTGATTCAGAGGTCTGGTATTTCTGCGGCTATCCTGTTTGCATGATCTTGGTGTTTACAGTGTTCAATGTTCATTGATATGATATAGGTAAGCCGTTTTCACGATGGGCTATTCGGCGAGTGCACCTGATTTGACCAAATCTGCACCTAATGTCTTTTACAGCAAAAATCTTTATTTTATGATTTTTTTTTCAGTGTTTTAATCGATGGTGCTCTCTGATAATATGACAAAGCAGGCATATAAGCAGTTAGTGCAATTCTAGCTGATAGCTACAAAGAGACGCACTGATTTGACCAAATCTGATTTGACCAAATCTGCACCTGATCTGCACCAGATGTGTACCAAATGTGTACCAGATGGCCGTCGTGAAAACGGCTAATACTATGCAGAACACTATCCCCCTTCAAAAAAAAAAAAATCAAAGAAAGCTTTGAGTTTAAAACCTACGAACAACTATCCTCTGTGGTTGTTAGAGACTATAATGGAGAAAACATCCCATTAGCGCTCACCTTTGCCGTTCCGGGTGTCAGAAGATGGTTTACTTACGGATTGAACTTCCCTTCTAACCTGCTTTCGCGTTTTGGCGTATCACGGTCTCGACTTCTATCTCGTCCCTTTGTCGGTTCTTGCTTCCTTTCCGTATCTGCTACATGCTGAAAGACCGACCCGAAGGGCAGATAGAAGGAGACTGGAAGGACGTAGGACAGGTGGTATTGGGCAGTGGGTGGGTGGGAAATTGCTCTGGCGTGCCGTTGTCGGGCGGATGTTCAAACAACAGGCTGTTGCGGCGTTGCCGTTCCGCGAAATAACAAAGCGCATAATAATTAGTTAATATTGATTTCGTGGTGGTAGGGCAGTGTACAAGACTGGCTAAATATTCGATAAGTATTAAATAATAAAGCAATTTTCCCATAGAACTTGTTTTCAGGCTGCGCTCCCTAGATATATAATAAACTCTGGCCGCTCGACGCGCCATCTATGCTCCCGTGTACGGACACTCTCCGCGCGGGGCCAGTAGGCACCCGCCCGTCGGTGTGCGTGGGCCGGCCGGTAGACACCCGTCCGTCCGGCGCTAATGTTCCGTGCTGCATCGCGTTGCACAGCACGGTGCCATTAGCGCTCACCTTTGCCGTTCCGGGTGTCAGAAGATGGTTTACTTACGGATTGAACTTCCCTTCTAACCTGCTTTCGCGTTTTGGCGTATCACGGTCTCGACTTCTATCTCGTCCCTTTGTCGGTTCTTGCTTCCTTTCCGTATCTGCTACATGCTGAAAGACGCCAAAGAAACGCCAAAGTGTATTCCAGTCATTAGGGGCGGGGCCATTCTACGGGGCAGGGGCCGCGTTGACAGCGATGCGCGCTTCCCACACGTCCAGGCGGCGCCCCCGGATGTACCGGAGGTGCGATGACGAGGCCCACCGACCGGATGCACGGATCGCGCCGTCGGAGGCGCCGGTGGCTGCGGCGGCGGTGGCGAACCCAATCCGCAGGCTATGCGTGGTGAGCCGCCCAGCGTCCGAGGGCGCGTAACGGCGAAGTACGCCGTTTAGCCAGGCGATCGTGCCGTACGCGCCTGATGCCCGGATAAACAGTGGTTGGTCTGGAGGCTGGTCGGCGACGTTGCGAAGGTACCTCCGCATAGCCTGGACTGGACATCCGGGGCCGGAGACACTGGGTAGCTCGACGGTGGCTCCCCGATACGCTTGGTCGGTTTTGGACGCCGGGATATGCAGCACAAGACGGTCCCGGTGTAGTGTGACATGCCGGCGGGCGCACGTGCGGCGGCGAGAGAACCGGTGCGCACTTGGGGCCAGATACTCACTTCCGCGTAGCGCGCCGAAAAATCCCAGCGTGATTGCCGCCCATGCTGCCCTCCGGTCATGCGCTGACATCGAGGCCCGCCGGAGTCGCCGGCGCAGTCGCAGCAGGATCGGCACGGACGCCGGTCGCCGGCCGGGCGGGCGTGGCCCCTGGCTGTCTCTGCTGATGGCCCGCAGCGCTAACCGGATTCGTTCCGTCCGGCCGGGCCAGGGTCGCTCCCGCGTGGCGTGCCAGTGTCGCAGTGCCGCCAGATGGGATGAAGCGAGTCCCGGGGAAGTGTTGTTGAGACTGAGGTGGGCGAGGAAACGAAGGACTGTGCGCTCTGTGGCGGGGATAGCGGGGAGGTTGTGAGAGGCGCAGAAAGTCTGGAAGGTAGCGACACACCGCCGATACGCTCTTCGCGTTGCGGGTGCGAGTCCGTCCCGGATGAGCCGGCGCGCTTCCGTGTCTAAATCGGGTAGCCCGACGCCGTGGTGCAGGTTTCCGTCGGCGCTTCCAGGAAGGCCGTCATCGCGGGCGGTACCGGCGTGGGCTCGGCCGCTGCCGCTGGATGCAGGCGGCGGAAACGGCCGATCTGGGAACGCGAGAGCGCGTCAGCGGAGCTGTTGTCTGTGCCGGGCACATGTACCACTCGCAGGTCGAATGAGCGCGAGGCAGCGACGAAAAGCGTTTGGCGTATGAGCGACATGAGACGCCGGTCCCGTGACCAGCCTTTGCTCCATGCCCCGACCACCCCGGCATTGTCACAGTGTATGGACACCCGCATGCCCTGCCAACTATGGCCCCATAGCAGGCACACTGTCAGGATCGGGATCATCTCGAGCCAGGAGATGCTGGAGGCCCAGCGCAGCGTGGCTGCTGGCCACTGCTGGGAGAACCAGTTCGGCCCGCAATGGCCACCGTGCCCCACTGTGGATGCGTCGGTATGGAGGTGAAGGTGGGCGGGCGGTGTCCAGTGCGGGTGGAGGAGGGGGGCTGACCCGTTCCAAGTCGGTAGGATGGAGAGCCACCAATTCAAGTCTCTGCGAGTGTCAGTGCTCATATTGACCCAGTGGTGGGGGCGCTGTGCGGTGTGAGCTGTGTCGAGGAGCCGTCGGAAAAAACTGCGCCCTGCTGGGATACATTTGACGGCATGAATGAGCTTGCCCGCGAGGCTGAGAAGGCGCCGCTGCCGGATTGTGCGAGAGGCTCGCACCTCTTCCAGGAGCTGGATGAGAGCGCGAAGCTTGGCGGACGGCAGTGAGATGGTCATGCTTGCGGTGTCCAGCACGCAACCGAGGAGCTCCATGCGGGTGGATGGTGGGCAGCATTTGTCAGGCGAGACGGGAATGCGGCATCGGTGACACAGGTCAAGGAACGTCTGGTACGCTTCGCCGCATGCGTCCGAACCTGCCGGTCCGATGAAAAAGAAATCGTCCAGATAGTGATGAATGTTGGCGTGGTTGGCGTGGTGTCGTGTGGCAATTGCGAGCAGATCGGCGAAGTCGTTGAAGATGGAACAGGCTGACCGCAAACCGAATGGTAGCCGGAGGTCAACATAATATGCTCCCTCCCAATGGTGACCGAGCAGCCAGCGCTGTTCCGCGCGAACGGGGATGAGTCTGAAGGCATGTCGGAGGTCGGCTTTTGCGAGAAGCGCGTTCTGGGGTCCGGCGGAGAAGATATGAGCAATAGCACTGTCCATGGAGGTGTAATGTACGGCAAAGGAATCCTTGTCAATGTGACTGTTGACGCTGAGTCCTTCCGGTTGGGACAAATCTAGAATCAGGCGGACGGAGCCGTCGGGCTTGTCTCTCGCCCCGAGCGGGTTGCAGCGGAACGGGGAGTACGGTGGTGATGGGAATGGGCCAGCCGTGTGTCCCCGTGCCACCTCTTGTTGCACCGCCCGGGAGACTGCTGCCGGTCGCGACCGAGCCGAGAGGTTGTTGGGTCGCCAGGTGGATATCTGTGGGCCCGTGTATCCTATGTCGGCTCCGCGCTGGAGACGGTCGAGGACGGTACGGAGAAGGCCGGGATCGACTGCTGCGGCGGCTACGCCATGTAGGGAAGGTATGTCGATAGGTGTGGTAGGAGGGGGCAGGGATGACCGGATGAGGGCGTGCGACTGGCTTACCGTGGGATCTACCGCCACAGTGGGCGGGGGGGCCGTGCTCCGGTCGGCTGCGGAGGGCGTGCCGGCGCCAGGGGGCGCGCGCTTTGCGTCGGGCAGCTTCTGGCGGTGTGCGGCCCTTGGCAGCGGTGGCAGACGTGTCGGCGCCCGCATGCGCCTCCGGGTGGGCATGATCGTGCGTGGTAGTTGAACCGGAGGCATATTTCGTTTCCCTGCCGCTGCTGCTGGGTGGCATACGGCTGTGCCTGTACCGGGGCTGGCGCGGGGGCGTACACTGCTGGTGCCGCGAGCGCTTGTCCGATGGCTTCCGTCAGCGAGGCTGGGTCCTGGTACTCCATATGGTACCGGGCGATGTGCGTCCTCGCCTTGACATCTATGTCGCGTAGGGCGCTAGTAGGGAGGTCACCGGCCTGACCTTGCAGCCACAGTACGTAGCTGAGCCATTGGATGGCAGCACCTGGGAAAAAGTAGGCTCGGTACGTGGCGATGGCGGTGACGCCGCGGAGGTATGCTGCTGGACTCAGTGGTGGGTACCGCGGCTGTCCCCGCGCACCGTCCACGGGTGGCGCGTGCGGGAACACTACCTCGTCTACAGACACCATCGTGGCACGGTTGGCGAGTGCCTGCATGGCGGCAGCGCTGATGGTCGGCAGCTTCAGCGCGCGCGGTGGCGGCGGCTGCTTGGACTTGACCGGGACTCGGCTCATGTCCAGCATGTCTATGGCTGGTGTCGGCGTGTGAGTGCGCCGCCGGTGACTGTCCGTGCTGCGAGCCCGGCGGCGGTGGCGGCGGCTCGATGAACGGGCGTGTGCTCGTTTCCTCCTAGGCGGCCGGTCGATCTCGCTGTCCTCCGTGGTTGAGCTAGTGTAAGCACTGGTGAGTGACCGGTCGTCCTCGGAGGAATGGCTGTCCGCGTTTGAACCTTCGCTGTTTCCGACCGGATGTCGGCGAGCGGAGCGCCCTCGAGAGGTGTCGGGCTGGGCTGACCGGCTGTCTCCCTGCCGGGCGCGGCGGGCGGTACCCGTGGGTCGCGCTGTGCTGCGCCGGCCGGAGGTCACGCGTCCCTCGCCGCCTCCAGGTGGGGAGCTATGGCTCCTCAGCGGTACAAGGTGCCCCGCCTCGTCAGCCGCAGCAGTGCCGGCTTGGTCGTCCTCCATGTGCGGTGTGTTCGGCGCGAGCGTCGGAACGAGAGCCGCTGTAACGAATGAGCATTGAATGAGGGCTGAGTTTCTTGTAGGCGAGAGCGCTGGTGCGAGTGTTGTGACCGGTGAACCGACAGGTGACGTAGGTGAGGGGGCGGGTGAGAAGACCAATGTGACAAACTTTTTTTTTTTTTACATAGTTGTGTGTTGGTGTGCGGCGCAATGGCTCATTTTCTTCGGGAAGGGCAGTGTAGGGACTCTGTGCCGGCTGGCGGCCTGTCTGTGTGCACTGACATCTGTGCACACCCTTGACGCGTCCCTGCGTGGACGCTGACCGCTGTGCACGCTCGGCGCCTCGGGCACACAGTGGCCGATCGCAACCGGCCGGTGAGCCGCACCGGTCAGTCAGTGCCAGGACCTAATACAGGCTGCGTCGATGGACAAGTTTCGCAGTACCTTACACACTGCCAGCGGGCAGATGAGTTCAGTGGGAGTGCGACGGTCACCAGACCGGTGAGAGGCAGATAGGCGCGAGTTCCGGTGTAGGTGGGACGATCAGTGGACATGCCCTTGGCGGCATGCCGGCATGCAGCATGCAGTCATTCTTGCACCCACAGAGTGGCATACGGCCAGCAGTGACCTGACTCCAGCCCAGATGGCCCGCTGCAGACCCGGTGCAAGACGACCCCCGATCAGCTGGGGACCTGCGGTCCGGGCGCCGGGCCAAAGGCCGCTACGTCACGGTCACGGTCAGCTGACGTCACGGCGAGTGAGTCACCCGGGCCGCCTCACGGCGCAGATGACGGTTACGTAATGACACGCCCGCGCCTGCGCCACGGACGGCCACGTGGCTACCAGCAGTTGCTGTCGCGGCCGCCGCGGCGCCACCAGCGCTGGAGGTGTCCACACCTACCGCTGACGTCACGATCACGCGATCGCTGGGCAACCGGCCCGACCGGCGATCACCAGCTAATACCAGACTCCGCTGGTACGGACGGTAACTGTTCCGCAGCCGTCAGCCTGCCGCTATCAGGGGGCACCGCTACTTCAACACAATCATCGCCTGATGGCGCAGGCGCCTTCGCTAATGGCACCTGCGTGCCAGTCACATAAGTTTCCGCTGGCCGCCGCCGCGCGGCAGGACCCAGTCCAGGTTAGCAGGTCGGCGGTCGCTGGGACCGGTGACCTGAGGGCGCACCTGAGCCAAAACAGTGAGACTTGGCCGGTGACCGGAATGGCGCACCTGCGACAAAAAAAAAAGAATAATAAAATAGAAAATAAAAAGGTGACTCGGCCGGTGACCTGAGGGCGCACCTGATCCGAAAGTGAGACTTGGCCGGTGACCTGAGGGCGCACCTGAGCCAAACAGTGAGACTTGACCGGTGACCTGAGGGCGCACCTGATCCGAAAGTGTGACTTGGCCGGTGACCTGAGGGCGCACCTGAGCCAAACAGTGAGACTTGACCGGTGACCTGAGGGCGCACCTGATCCGAAAGTGTGACTTGGCCGGTGACCTGAGGGCGCACCTGAGCCAAACAGTGAGACTTGACCGGTGACCTGAGGGCGCACCTGAGCCTGTGTGACTTGGCCGGTGACCTGAGGCGCACCTGAGCCAAACAATGATACTTGGCCGGTGACCTGAGGGCGACCTGAGCCAAACCGGTGTGACATGGCCGGTGACCTGAGGGCGCACCTGAGCCAAACAGTGAGACTTGACCGGTGACCTGAGGGCGCACCTGAGCCAAACCAGTGTACCCGGCTGGTGACCTGTGGGCGCACCCGAGCCAAGCTGGGGGTGCTGCGGCTGGTGGCCTGGGGGGCGCTGTTGAGCCAAATGGTGTGGCATGCCATTGACCCTGACCTGAGGGCGCGCCTGAACCAATGAGGGGAAAAGAGCCAGTGACCTGAGGGCGCAAGGTGTGAAGATGTGTTTGATCATTATTATTATTATTATTATTATTATTATTACTATTATTATTGTTATGATTATGATGATGATGATGATGATTATGATGATTATTATTATTATTATTATTATTATTAGTATTATTATTATCATAATTATTATTATTATTATTTTATTATTATTATTATTATTATTATCATTATTATTATTATTATTATTATTATCATCATTATATGATTACGTCCTAACGTCAAGGTGGAACACCGTGTTTGACAGATTGCAAGGAAATACTATGAATATGCCAAGAGTGCGAGGTTTGACATGTGCTAAGGCGTCAAATGTGATCTTGATTTGGGTGTTGCGAGACAGTGTTTGGGTTCGAGCACACTAGACCTGAGGGTGCAATCGAGTCAAACAGTGTGTGCTGTGTCCTGTGCCATGAGGGCGCACCCGAGACAAACAGTGTGACATGGCTGTGTGGGTGTGCAAAACGAATGCATGATTAATCCAAGGGCATACCTGGACAGGTACTATGCTGGTCTAACATTGCACGGACAGACATGAACTGGCCGAGGACGGAGCTCTACAAACAAGCTTGGATCTTTTATAGACCCTCGACCGGGGGTAATCCACTCCCTCAAGGACCTCTATTACTATGGCTTACGTTCTGATAGAATGTTATCCAAGAGGGTGAAACCGGGCCCTTAAAACACCGAGGCGCTGTCTGAAAGGTACCACCATGGCGGCGAACCGTTCGTCCCATTGTCTCACCTGGACCTTGTCTCGTTCGTCGCCTGGGCATCTTCAGAAGTGATGTGTAAGGTCGTCACTATCACTAGTTCCTTCCTGACTCACAGCTTGGGCGTAAAATCCCTATTAGACTCGTTATTTGAGAAAATTGCTCTGGCGTGCCGTTGTCGGGCGGATGTTCAAACAACAGGCTGTTGCGGCGTTGCCGTTCCGCGAAATAACAAAGCGCATAATAATTAGTTAATATTGATTTCGTGGTGGTAGGGCAGTGTACAAGACTGGCTAAATATTCGATAAGTATTAAATAATAAAGCAATTTTCCCATAGAACTTGTTTTCAGGCTGCGCTCCCTAGATATATAATAAACTCTGGCCGCTCGACGCGCCATCTATGCTCCCGTGTACGGACACTCTCCGCGCGGGGCCAGTAGGCACCCGCCCGTCGGTGTGCGTGGGCCGGCCGGTAGACACCCGTCCGTCCGGCGCTAATGTTCCGTGCTGCATCGCGTTGCACAGCACGGTGCCATTTTGATAGCTTTAAAATGTGAAACGTAAGGAGCGTATCACGTATTTATTTCTTAGCGTTTCGATCCAAATAAGATTCCCTCGTATGAACGCTATGAATGAAACAAAATGATCAGGTTTCCCAGCAACTCTTTATGACTTTATTTTCCCTGGGACCTTATTAGTTTGACCCTGCTAAGAACATCACTTAGCTAAACGCACGCATCCTGCGACCTATTGTTTTCCCAGTGCCACCAGCCGGAGAGCCTCAAAAGCAGTATGACACTCTGGGGTGGCATCTCTAGTGTTTGCTTTGGAACTCCTCTGAAATATGGTCGGCAAACGGCAGCACCGCTCGCATGCCGGCGCAGACAGAGCCGCGGTAGGCTCACAGGCAGAGTCACAAAGCAGCCGAGGACCACAACTGTCGGCGGATGTGCGGCGCACTGCAGTGGTAAACACATTTGGGGAGGGCGCCACACTGCAGTCGGTGCAACATATTGCACTGCCAGATATCGCTCACTGCTTTAGTGGGCAGTTTCTGTATAAGGGTGGAAAACTTATGGCGAGGATTGACGTTTGAATGAAGGCGCACATCGCAAGAGCCTTAAAATACATTTCAAATGAACTGACTACAATACGGATACAATTAATTCCTCGATTTTACTTATTTTATTTTACCCATGATGAAAACAAAACAAGGTAACCTTTGAGACCATCACTTTGAAGTTAAACTTGTTGAAATAGAATTTCTATGGAAATTACTCGGCCCCATTATCGTCTCACTCTCGTGTGCTCGTGCTTTGTTTTTACTTTAAAACACCGTTACCCGGAGAGCCCCGGGTTCAGGGCACTCACCTGGTCTGCACAATGTAGTGTTTGATGGGGCTGTTGTTGGTTTGCAGGCTCGGGGCCCAGCTGAGGTCGATTCGGCGAGACGTGTGCTTGATGACCATTGGCCGGCCGGGAGGACTGGGAACGCCTGTGGAGCACGGCCGAGGGCACGGCGGTACGGTCAGGACGGTAGTACGGGCAGCACGGCGGTACGGGCAGTACGACGGTACGGACAGCACGGCAGTACGGGCAGCACGGCGGTACGGTCAGCACGGCAGTACGGTCAGCACGGCGGTACGGGCAGCACGGCGGTACGGGCAGCACGGTAGATGTCACGCATCATGGCTGCATGACAGCACGATACCGAGGCAGGGGTCGGCAGTAACGCGCCGTGACACAAGTAGGGAGGAGGCACAGAGGCTACTCGCTCACCTGTCGTTAGTTACAGAACATACTGACACAGTATGAGACGCAGATGACAATCGCCAATACAGCATGAGGCACAAAACATACACGCTTGACAGCATCAGACAAAGAACACACTTACACGCCTTGAGACAAAAGTTCACTGGCAACATGCTCCCATGTTGTAAAACACTTGATGCCACCGTGCGTCGAGAGCAACACGATGAACGGTATAAGCGCAGCGTTCTTAGCAAAGAGTAAGTGGGGGAAAGTGTTGGTCTGTGCTGACTGAGTTCTTCTTGGAATCTCTGGAGGTCGTCGGCGGGAGGCACGCAGATGGTAGATGCCAGGCCACCCCGACGCGACAGCTCGTAGGCCGCTTATTGCAAAATGGTTGGCAAGGGCAAGGCGTCAGATAAATGTGCCACTTTCAGAGAGATCAAGATGAAGGCTGGAGGCTGGGAGAGAGAGAGAGAGAGAGAGAGAGAGAGAGAGAGAGAGAGAGAGAGAGAGAGAGAGAGAGAGAGAGAGAGAGAGAGAGAGAGAGAGAGAGAGATACAGAGAGAGAGAGAGAGAGAGAGAGAGAGATACAGAGAGAGAGAGAGAGATACAGAGAGAGAGAGAGAGAGAGAGAGAGAGAGAGAGAGAGAGAGAGAGATACAGAGAGAGAGAGAGAGAGAGAGAGATACAGAGACAGAGACAGACATACTGACAGACAGAGACAGAGACAGACAGACTGACAGACAGGCAGACAGAGACGGAAACAGAGACAGAGGCAGAGACAGAGGCAGAGGCAGGGGCAGAGACAGAGGCAGAGACAGCAGAGGCAGAGACAACGGAAAAAGCTTTTCCAAGGGCAGCGCCGCAGCCCACAGCTGGGAGCGGCCAACTTTGCCAACACTGGCTCGTGCCATAAGGGCATTATTCATCGGTTTCCACCGCACTGCCACTTGGGCATGGCCGCAGCTGAAATGAATCGGTATATTATCGAGACCAGGCGCGGCATGGCGCCCCGCCCCCGTCCGCCCCCCCCCCCCGGCCCCCGACGGCTGAACTCGACAGATAACTTGCTCCCGTCGCGCAGCGCCGCCTGGGAGGTCAGCGCACAAGCCCAGCACGGCATCTGATTAGGTGAAAAATTAATGGCTGATTATGGCTGAGTCTGACGCCGAATTTTCCACCGGAGCGTTTGGCGTCGTCGCCGTAAATTCCGCCGCTGACTTTCCTTTAACGTGGTGCCGCGTTGAAATCGATCGATGTTGGGTGGTGGAGGCCGCTCGCCGGAGCCCGGACCCGCGTTGCCGCGGCCACAGATGGATTATTCCGAGCGGTGCCTGCTATTATTCAGAAGTTCTCACCAGAACACGGCACCAGTCGCGCTTTCGGCGCCATATTTCAGGCTCCCACGCGCAAATGTTTGTTTATGGATGAGGCCGTATTCACTATCCTAACTCCAAACGTGTTAGGCATTGACTCATATCGGGTACAATTTGACACATTCTGCGCTAGCATAAAGGAAGCTAATGACCCAGCTAAACTAACGGCTAACGAGGGCTTTACAGTTTGGCGGGCCATTGTGGGAGGGTAGCCGGGGGCGAGTAGGAGGCAGGGGAGGGGAGGGGAGGGTCCAACACTCACCTAGCACCACCAGCACGACGCGTCGCTCCGAGGGCTGACTGTTGAACGAGCAGCTGTAGTGACCGCTGTCGTCGGCCTGGGCCGGTGAGATGGTGAGTGACCAGCTGTGTCGGTCTACTGAGAGGCGCCTCTGGTCTCCCAGAATGGTCACGGCGCCGCCGGAGAACTCGGCCAGACGACCCTGAGGGACGAGGGTAGCAACGGGCAATTAAGGGTCACAACGGGTCACATCGGATCATTTGTATTTACATTGGGTAACAACGGGTCACACTGGGTCACACTGGCTCACACGGAGAAAAGATGACTGGCATTTGATGTTGGGCCAGATTTGGTATTGACAGGTTGCACCGGGCCACACCGGGTCACATTGGGTCACACTGGGTCACATAGGGTTGCACCGGGTCATGTTGGGTCACGTTGGGTAACATTAGAACACGGCGATTAGCACGAGATCAAATCGGGCTTTATTGGGTCACATCGCATCACACTGCGTAACAACGAGTCATATCGGGGTCACACTGGATCACCATTACAGTCACTGGAGCGGTACAATGCTGCAAGGGTTCAGTGACCGCACAGAAGCCCCACACCGGATCAATGCATTGCACCGTACGGATGCACCGGGCGCTCAATCTTCCAAATAGTCTGTCAGATCGTGTCAGTATCCCGAATCCTGGCAGACAGATGAAGTGCCTAATGACTATAGATACAGCAAATGACATTCTGATAGCTGCATGGAATGTCTGATGCGTTAGTCAGCCTATGGTCGCTAAGCGTTGGCCAATATGATGATGATGTGTGTCTAACGGTGATTCCGTTCACGAGTGCTGCGTTACTAGCATCCTTAGGTCGAGATATGACACGTGTCCCAAACGGCTGTGAAGCTACCGCGTCACAACTGTCTTTTTGAATTTGCATTTGCTTTTGCATTTGCATTTGCATTTGCGTCTGTCGTTTCGTCCAGTGGAAGTGAAGTTATCTGCAGAGAATATATAGAAGTGACTACTGACTAACGACATAAGTTGCAGCGTCAAATTCTAATCGTCATTCATTTACGTTTTTTACTTTACGTATAAGCAGGCCGAGGACATGTAGATGACATCCTCGCCTCTCTCTCTCTCTCTCTCTCTCTCTCTCTCTCTCTCTCTCTCTCTCTCTCTCTCTCTCTCTCTCTCTCTCGCCCTCCAAACACGCACCAGAAGTGGGATCTGAGAGAAAACAGCAGCCGGTGATAATAACACGATTCCCCACCGCCGAGCGCTGGTCGGTCGGCATCAAAGCGAGAGGGGAGCGGCCGCCCCACTCGAGTCCGTCAGAGAGAGACAACAGAGAGCCCAGCCGCCGCGTGGCAGCGGGAGAGAGACACGACTCACGAGGGCGGTGGCGCGCGGCAGGTGCTCTGCTCCGCTCCGCCGGATGAGGGCGAGCGGGTCCTGCAGGTCCTCAGTAGGGCGGCCATGAGAGGATTGAAGAGGGAGAGCTGCCGTAGGGCTCATGGACCATAGGGGGCCATGCTGCAGGATGGCGCCCCTGTGGTACTTGAGCCCTACCGCCCATATGGCAGCTCTCCCTCTGCAGAATGGCGCCAAAAGCAGAGCAGACGCAGGCGGAGCTACCGTATGGTCCTAAGGCAAAGTAAACGTGGGCTATTCTGCAAAGCGCCGGCGAGATGGTGCTTACCCTGTGCTATATGTCCAAGGCAGGACAAATAAAGGGTCAACTGAACGGGTGCGTTAGAAGCAGCAAAGGGAGGACGGGAACGGGTCTACATAATTCCGCAGGTGCGCCCAGAACCCAGACATTTGACTGGCCGACCGAGAGACCTTGCACCTAGAGGATCGTCTCGCATTAGGGTGTAAAGCCGGGGTCGAGCGACTAATAAGCATCGATGAGGCCGTCTGATGCCACGATGATGCGGATAGTAGAGCTGGCTTTCTTGATCTATGAGTTAAATTGACAGTAGAAAGAACGGTAAGACTTTTCATCCATGACATTCAGCAAAGTATGAAATGCTGGACAGTCCTATTTTTGCATGACAAGGTACAATTCAAAATCAATTTGCACTGTAATAAATGTTAACTAATTTCCTAGTTATCCGGCCACTTTCCAATAACAAAATGCGAGTACAGAGTAGACTTGAAGTCTACTCGCATTTTGCTAGTGAAAAGTGAAGTCAACTCGCATTTTGTTAGTGAAAAGTGGCCGGATAACTAGGAAATTAGTACACATTTTTTACAGTGGCCTTACGAGTTTCGAAATTCAGTCCGGGTGTGCGACAGCAGTATTCCTTTCTTTATATTCAGGCTTGTTAATTGATTTTGACCAAGCTTATTATTAGCCCTAAAAAACTGTGGCGTTTCGTTACGGGAGCCAGAAGGGATGGTGGTATGGCGTGTGCCTTCGTGCTATTATTGTGTGCACTCATGTTTTGTGCTGTTGCCGGAGGGCGTTCCTACACAGCAGCCGTGATCAGTAATCATGGAAAGGTCACCAACGACAAAATATCGTCACTCCCTGGTAATGACTGACCTGCAAGTGTACCGGAATGACATTGACGCCTTGATGAAAATTTCATCGCAATAGGAAGTAACTTGCGCATGAATATTGCTATGATCTAGCCGTAACGAATTATACATTATGCAATGCGGATATATCTGCCGTTACAGCCATTGCTCATAGTTATGTAACATGGCTATTCTTCATGCTGCGAAACGTGCGTCTTTGCCTCGTGGTTATAATTAAGAATTGGAAACAAAGACAATTCGTGACCACATGACATAAGATAATATGTGTCAACAGCCATTCAGAACAAGTGCAAAAATCAATCTGGGTACACTACAATTAATTAAGGAAACAGTTCTTGATCAGTTCATCATTTCCCATCTTACTTAACCCGCGCCGTGCTGGGGGGGGGGCGTTTTTACGCCCCCCCCTCAGGTTTTTCGCGAATATCTCAAAAACGGCGGCGCGCAGCGCCGCCGTTTTTGGTACACGTGTTCCTACATCATTTCCGCACATGTTGTGAAAATTTCAGACCTAGGCCGTTCAAGGTCAGGTCACCAGGTCACGTCAAGTGACCTTACCTCAGAAAAAGTTCAAAGGCTCGCTATAGCTACACCGACTGAACGATCACTTTGAAACTTTCAGCGATTGATATGAGTAACAGTATGTATAAAATGTATATCTCGGATTTTTGATATCTGTGACCTAAGGTCAGGTCAATTTTGCGACCTCTCCATTATAAGTCAATGGGAGAAAATTGAAATGCGCCTCTTTTGGACGAATATCGTTCAAAACGCTCTCAAACATCGGTTCATAGGTAAACATGACACACTGAATAGGAAAAATGCACCTGTGACCCCTCTGTGTGCCCCTGAGGTCATCTCAGGTCATGAACGGTCGCCAGCAGTTTTTTGGCTATAACTTTTGATAGAGACGTGCTAGAGCGGTGAAAACACGTCAGATGTGTTCAGCTCGACGATACGGATCGACTGATATGCAACATGACCCTTTTCGGTCAAGTCATGACCTTGACCTGAGGTCAAATTTTCAAAATGACCTTTCAAGGTCAACAAATAGTTCATTCGACGCGTCTCGACGAGAGGAACACGATGCTGGCAAAAGTAATGTCATGGCGCTTATGAGTCAAAAGTTATTGACGAAAAAACGTTTTTCGTAAAAACGGCTATTTTTGGAGTTTTTGCCCTCTGGAGGCTAAACCGTTGACCTGAGGTCAAATCTGAGAACATTACTCAGAAAGGTCTGTAAAAGGGCTATCGAATGCGCTTTTCCGCGGCGCTGTAGCTCTATCGGTTCCCGAGATAGCCTTTGGCAGTTTCCAAAATGTTGAAATAGTCAACATTTTACCTTTGGTGACCTCTGGTGACCTGACCTTTGACCTGACCCAAAAAATGACCGAAGTGTTTTCGTCCTTATTTTTGACGCTCTTTCGATTGCCGCTTACCGCGTGTCGCTACGTGGCCCAGGAGCCGAGTTAGACGGGGGGGCGTGAAAACGCCCCCCCCCCAGCACTCGGCGGAAAGTTCAGGCCACCAGCACGGCGCGGGTTAATCCATTCATAGCATATTTAGGCTTTCAATAAAAATTAGACACAATGAAGGTTATATTACTCTTCACCAGTGCCCATATGGTGATTCAGAACGATAATATACTCGTAAACCACCTGCAGCATTGTCCGGCTTTTTTGCGACAAAAGTAACCACCCTACTGTGAAGAGCTATTAGATTTAGCAGGCGCTTGGAGCACTGTCCAGTGGTCTGTCCTTCTCTCCTTTCCAAACAGTACGGCAGTGTCAGCGGCCGCGCCGCACGGCCGCCGTTGCGCCGCGTTTGTGTTTATCTTGTGCTGCGTGTCCAGCCGTCGGCGTTGATTGCCGCTCTCTCGGCAAACAAGCTCGCTGCCCGTTCACAAACGAACAGCCCATCGGTCCCGGTAACTCCGAGCTGCAGAGAGCTGCGAGCTGGCGGACGTAGCGGACAAAGCAGAAATCGCCTGACGCGTGTAATTCCACAGTGTGTCGCCGCTCGGCGTTGGCCGCTACTCAGTCTCTCACCGTCCGCTTTCGGCAGCCAGCCGCTCTCCGAGTGGCCGCTCTCCAGCGCTGGCAGCTCCCCGACGGACGGGCGCCGGCCCCTTCGGCCGCCCGAGACACCAGCGTAAATTGGGGCATGTTTTTAGCTGGCAGCGCACGGCACGCGGCACGCATCAGAACAAGTTGCAGGCTGACCACACGACCGGTCGTCCGGAATGCCACCAGAGTTGCGGCCCAATTTCGGCAAGTTCACCAGTCTGAAGGTGTCGCAGTGAGCTAGTAAACCCAATAGCGGCGGCCGCAGCTTGTTTGTCTTACTCGTAAATGTATTAGGATGTTGGCTAGTGTTGGCTGTTTTCTAGCGCAGAGAAAGTCGTGAAGTAGATAGCTGGTAACTCTGAGCTGTAAAGGTTTATATCTTCCTAGATCAAGATTGATGTAGGTATGTACTATGTAGTATAATTCCCTTATCAACATGGGTAAATATTTGTCAAGGTGTTTTTCCGTTTATTCAAAATGTCACCAAACCAACCGCACACCGTGCTGATCTTACCGATCTTTTAGTCGCAGAATACAATAATTCGTGCATATTAATCAAATTTTCTCAGATCTAAACATGCAGTGTCAGTTGGAGGCTGAAGTCGGGAGCCATCACTGCTCGCGCCGGGCCTGGGTGAACACTGTCACCCGCTCATCTGAACATCCTGTCAGATGGCTGTCCTCGCTGACATCGCGTGTCACTGGTGACAGGGGGCGCTGTCAGGGCGGCTAACGTCACAGCCTCCTGCCCTCCCCCTCCCCCGACCCGTGATAGCACCCTGTACTTTGCGGCACAGTCGACTCAACGGAAATGGATCTTTTGAAAAGACCTAATGGGTGCTGAGTTAACTCGCGTGGTATGCGCGGTTAGGGCACGTTCGCTGAACAAAGCAGCCGGCGGAGTTTAAATTAAAGAACTACGGACGAAATGAAAAGCCCTTGAACTATGGGAACAACATAATGAGACATAACAGTGGCCTACGGATTATTAGAGGAGAACATGAATCGTCGAGGAGTGGTTGTGCATAGAATACTGACGAGGTCTGTACAAAGGATGCCGAACCCACTGCAGATATACGAGTAAGTGAAGACGAGGCTAATGATGCAATTTTGCGTGATGCGCTTTTGCAAGAATACGCATTACGGAATGGATCTGATCTCCAAAGGACGAGGTCGATGATGAAATGAATGAAAATGTCAAATAAAAACATTGGATAAGCTACACTTTATGGTTATACAGTTCCCTGTCCTGCAGCATTTTTTCATATTGCTGCAAACAAGTGCAAGTATCCAACTTGTGCTGGCTTGGCAGCTTCTGTGTTTTTTTATTGCGTTCAGTGTCTGCATTTATTCTTACTGAACTCGATTATTCAAGCTACAAAACTCAAACATTTTCTTCTCTTTAGATCAACACGTAGCTTCCGTAGTCCGCACTCCGCACCTCACTTCGTAGCTCTCGTACATACCTATCTATCGTAACCGTGGGCAAACGTGTCAATAGTGTAGTTATCTTTTATCTAGGTTGCATGTGAGCGCGCTTTACATTCACCATCTTCAGCTTCCGCCAGCTCCGCGAACAATCTGTGCAGCTTTTGCGTCTGTGGATGCGTCGTCATATGCCCCTGATCTGGCTCTTGACGCCTCGCGACCCTCCTGACACTGTGAGGTGTTAGCTGATAATGGACTGGACTGATTCAGTGGCACAATAGCCGTTTTCACGACGGCCATCTGGTACACATTTGGTGCACATTTGGTGCAGATTAGGTGCAGCTTTGGTCAAATTAGTTTCAGTGTGTCTCTTAGTAGCTATCAGCTAGGGATGCATTATTTGCTTATATGCCGGCTTTGTCATATTATCATAGAGTATTGTCGTATAAAACACTGAAATAAATTCATAAAATAAAGATTGTGCTGTAAAAGAGATCCGGTACAGATTTAGTCAAATTAGGTCACTCGCCGGATAGACCGTCGTGAAAACGGCTATTATCTGTCTAGTTAAATAAGACCGGAGCTTGGAGATTGAGCCTCCGGTGACCGGTGTAAGACCGAACGTACGCAGCTCGGCAGATCTGAGCGCTGTTCAGTGATCTGATGGAACATAACCCATGGAGGGGTCACCACTGATGAACATCACTCCGGCCGGACGCCACATCAGTGTACTGATAACACGTCACAGTGGCCGGTCACCACTGATGACACATCACCCTGACCGGTCACCACTGATGACACATCACCCTGACCGGTCACCACTGATGACACATCACCCTGACCGGTCACCACTGATGACACATCACCCCGGCCGGTTGCTGCGGTGCACAGGGATCGGTCAGCGCTGACGGACACCGCTTTTAGAGCGTCAGTTTCATCAGCGCATGATAAATAAGGCTAACGGTGATGGCCTGACACCGAACGACAGGTACAAATGCACGGGCCGCTGGCCGGCCCATAATCGGACATAAAGCAGCGGGAGCTGACATTAAAAACCTCGTCTCTGCGTCAACCAAAAGGATTACAGGTTTCAGCCGCCGCTAATCACCAAACGTTAAAGGCCAAGGCGAATCAGGTAGCATATCAGTTCCCATAATACCGTATTTGTTGCCTGCAAATTGTCTTTTCTGACATGTTGATCAATAGTTTTAGTGGCGAGCAGAAATCCCACGATCAACCTGAAAAATACTTCCGATCCCCTTTGCCTTTTAATTTCAACTGTAACGCTTAGCAAAAGATCTGTGAATTGGTGTATCGTTCTGATATGTTTTGCAATAAATATGAATATTTTGTGATGTTATGATGTAGTGGTTAAATTATTCGCTTTAATTTTAAATGGCACAATCTGTAATTTATTGCAGCTCACCACTGTACGACGCGTTTACAGCTCTGTGCTTACAAAATGAATTAGCTTTGACAACAACAGTAAAATTTATTTGCACTATCACACTTTTTAGAGTTGCATTTAAATAATGAGCTAGTTAAGGAGAAACTGAAGAGCTACATGGTCAACTGTACACTGACATTAAATGCTAAATGTATAATGAATTGGAAGATATCTAACCTCATTACCACCTGTCTGTGTGTCTTGTGGATTATAAGCGTCACGAAAATGGAACTGCAGTTTGGTCTGGGTCAGAACAATAAAGCCTTAATGGCTTCCACACCTGGACTGAATGCCAGTCACAAATCACATCCAGAATTTACTTCACGCAATAAATTTACTTGTTCAAATTACTGTGTCGCGAATAATCGGGTGTGATTTTCGGCCCCTAATCAAGTGCAATAAGACAGTCTACAATCAAATTCATTGCATGTCGCCTGCAATCAGGAACTGCGGTATTGCTTACGGTCATTAATAAGAGGGACACCGCCCTTCACTGGTTTACAAATGGTTCCATGTTTTCTCTGCACATACTGACACATGCCATGAGATGGCATGACAGAGTGGCGGTGGCATGCAAAAAGACGACGGTGTGGCTGCATATTATAATAATTATTTATGCACTCAGGGTCGCACGTGGGCTTGGAGTCCTTACGATTAAGGATTTGTTACATGACGACAGCGGTTTGCTTAAATTAATCACAAGCACATTGTTAATTTACGAAAACATTCAAAGTCATATGCTAGAAAGAACGCACAATTTGCTCTACTCACCGAGTCGTCGGCAGCGGCGGGACATCGGCGTCGACCCGGGCACTCCCAGGTGAGCTGAGAGACCAGGTATCCACCGTGGCCGGCTGTCCCTGCCCTGGCCCTGGTTCCGGCTCCAATCCTGGCTCCGGATCCGGCCCTGACCGCTCCCGGGGCCGGAGGGGAGGCCGACCCCGCCAGGCCGGGACAGGGCAGGGTGACGTTGTCTCCTGCCGTCGCCATCACCGTTCTCATGAGTGTGTCGCAGTCGCCTGCCGGACATGATCAGCACCGCATCGGTCAGCGCCGACAAACGCGATTAGTGAGCACTGCAAACAGGCGGAAGGACGGACGCGTGCTACTCTCGTCCCGACCGGTATACGGTATATTGTCGGCACAGGTCACGGTCGCTGGGTGAACCCACATACGGCAGTTGTGAGTTGTATGTTCAGGATTCTGTAGAGCGCTGACTGCCGATGCTGGGAAGGGAATGTGGCTGAGGATAAAATGACGCTGGTTAAGAAGACCAAACGTTACCAGCGGGATTACGATTAACTGCAAGCCACAAGGTCAACAACCGGGAAAATGTCTCGTAGTGATCTTGGCACTATGTCGGAAGCAAGCAAAAACTCTTTTGATTTAATTCATTTTACCTTGTGGTAGCAGCTCAGCTAAAATAAGCCATAGTTAGAGCAAGAACAGAAAAACGATAGAAAAGACGGCGAGCAATCAGTCATGGAGGAATGAAATCCAATGGTAGGCTCAGAAATGCAAGAAAACTTGAAGTCAAATCATTACGAGACGTTTGTTTTTCCGAACGTATTGCAGTTAAATAAAGGTCGCAACTTTGAGTTGACTAGAAAGTGATGAAGCGTAAAGGCAGCTGTTTCAGTGTTGCGTAGAGCAAATGCGAGTGTGCCACTTCTTGACTTCGGCTGACAGCCCGCTTTTCCACGTGGCCGGTTTATAAATGACTTTGTCCGGGTTATCGGGCCCAGCTAAGATCCATCACATTTCAATGTATCATATTCCTGCGCTGCATACCCTCGATCCAGTGAGTGAAGATCCTTTCAAATTGTGCGAAGCTAATTTCCACCTTACCGGAACTTCCGAAGTGCCTTAGCTTCGCCCACATCTTTCACACCAGAGATCGTTTGGAGATCTCATTTGGCTTAACGCCCACATGGCTGCCAGTGTGTTGCCATTCTTCATTGATTGCGCTGTATCTTATGTAGGAATGCCTTGCAAGAGCCCGTTGTCACTCCCACGCCGAAAGTTATCATGCAGCTGAGGAATTGAGAGTGGGCGTATTTCGTGCTACTGTTCTTTACATTATTTTGGCCCCAGCAAAGCAACAGTCATATTGAGTGATCCTTCTCGCCTTCACTGTCCAGGAATAGGCAGTGGCAGCATACTCGTTTGTTGGTGATTTCCCGCATTTGTTACTTTATTCATTAATTCTCGCCACGATAGTCAGCATGCCTACGGACTGGCGCAAAGAAGCCAGTATTGCATGCTACAAAAACTCCTATAAAACAAATACCTAACAGTCACTCTCCGCATATCTGTCACTCAAATAATGCCTCGTACAACTAAGCCAATCCACACCACCACCACTGCATTGTTTCAGTCCAATAACATTTACCCAATCATCTCGCTCCTGTCTGCGGCTTTATTCACTGCCAGAGCCCGTATGCAGATCAGCGGCCCACCACCTGTGGCTCATTCCACGGTCCTGGGAGCAGAACACACCCGCTTCCCAGGCGGTGTCGTGCCGAGAATCATTCCCCCACGACGCTGACCGGATGCGCGGAACCGACCATGCCGTGCCAGTTTAGATGGATAACGCCCCTCGTCAGGGAACTAAGGAAACGCAGTAAATTACCCTGGATGGTACCGCGAAGGAGGCATGCTGGGGCGGTGGTGGAGGCGTGATGGAGTCGTGCTGGAGGCGTGCTGGTGGTGTGGCGGTGTCGTGAAAGAGCTGTCGTGGAGGTATGCTAATGTTGTGGTGGTTCCGTGAAAGTACACGCGTACTTGCTGTGGGAGTTTCGTGATGGCTACGTGGTGATGCGACGGATGTCGTGGTGGCGAGCTTGTGATGTGATGTTGGCGTAAAGGTGTCGCGATGAAGGATTAAGATGTCATGCTTGTGCTCGTCGATGATGCGCTAATGTTTTGTGACACCGCAGCCAATGTTATCTTGCCAATGTTACCAAAATATAGGGATATTTTCCCACGAATGGAAAACCACCCCGAACACGAGTCTAGTGGAATTTGTACCATAAATAGTTGACCTATGAAATTCTATCCCAGTGCAGTTGGCACGCTACAGTAGCAGTTAAAGTTCCGCGTAATCATCAGTTTATATTGTGCCACTAGGCAGCTGTTAGCCGCTCGAACCGGTGCTGAATCAACAGGGCTCGGCGACAAACGGCACGAAACGAATCTAATTATCGACTGAGTTGCAGCCAGGTTTAACAGACTCGGCTGTCAGAGAGTCGTGCGGATTTCAGTTCCCAGATAAAAGCGAACGTTAGCTCGTGCTTGCTGCTGCAAGTGACTATGCTGTATTGCATGTCGTCCACCAATACTGGGGTGCGAATGTCAAAGGCACATGCGATGTGCGTGTGTCGATTCCTAGCGCAAAGGTCGTGCTGGAGCCTGAAAGTGTGCTTGCCTTTTAGATTGCGTGAATATGTGAGACGCAGGCGGCGCCCTGTCGGGACAGAATCGACGTCGCGCGTTGATGAATGAGCCTCGGCGAGGCGTGCTCGACGGTGACACCGCGGCTCGCGGCGGGGGACGGGGTACGGGCGGAGCGACACATGCTCGGCCGGCGGAGGTGCCCGCTCCGCGCTATTGATTGCAGTATCGGATCGGCCTTTGAGTGTGAGTGAACCGGCTGCCGGTGGCCACAGAGGACACCTTCAATGCAGCCATCGACCACACTTGTGGGCCGCGCTGGACCGTACCCAACACACTCCCGGACCACAGTGGACCGAACTCACACCCGTACCGAACACACGTCCGGACCGCAGTAGCCACATTTGCGGGCCACGCTGGACCGTGTACAACACACTCCTGGACCAACCGGACCATACCGAGCGCAGTGGACTGTACCGGCTACACTTCTGGACCACAGTGGACCGTACCGATCTCAGTGAACCGTACCAATTGGCCACATTCTTGGATTGCGCTGAAACACATTGGCCAGGTCCAGCAGTAGTCCGTTTTACCGACCATACCCGCCCGCTGACAATGACGGACCGCACAAACTGAGTGCCACAGTGGTCTATTTGGTCCGTAGGGGAGAGTGGGGTAAGATGCCCAGGGTGGGAAAGACGCCCCACCCCCTCTAGCGGCAAAACAAAGAATCGAACCTGGAAATTAATGTTCTTAGCGTAAAGCGGAAGCCTGCCTTGTTAACTGCACAAAAATTTGCGAAGCTCAGTTGGGCAACGGCTGGCTGGTGAATGCATGTTTTTTATTTGCTGCTTTCGAAAAATATTTTGGTGTCAAAACATTGTAAATATCAAAGAAGGTAGATAATTTTTGCGTCCCTTGCTATAGTCGTGATACATTAACATGCGTGTACTGTGTCCCAAACAGTTTGTTTCAGGGTGTAGTTTTATGGCTAACAAATTGTACTGATTTAATGTTACTTCGGTACCTTGGGGTAAGATGCCCCCTGTCCTGATGGGGAAAGACGCCCCCCTAAATCCGTAGGCTGTCCTTCAAGCAGCCCGTCAAATCATCTATTATGCTTGTGATGAGAGACAAAAGCCGGTCTGGGACTATTGAGAGTCCAGTACGGTCGGGTGCTCTCCATGCCGGTCTCTCGGCCCACACAGCGACTTTTTGGGCGGCATCTGACTCTGAGAGCTCTCACGACGGCCTCGGTGGGCCCCATTATTGGCTCCAGTGCCCCTCACGACATCCTTTGAGGGCTCCCACGTTGGCTCCACGGGTCGCGCTGGCATCTGAGGTCCCCACGATGGGCTCGAGGGCCCTCAAGCATCATGAACACCTATAAGGGACCCACAGTGGTCTCCGAACGCCACCACGAAAGCTTGTTTGGCCGCGCTGGACTATGATGACCCTAACGATGACCTCTGAAGCCCCTTAAGACCACTTTTGAGGGCCCTTACGATGACGTTTGGTGTCTACTGCAGGCTCGAAGGGACTACTTATTCGTTCAGGCGATTCACGTGCCCATTTATGTCACTTATAGTGCAGGGGGCATCTTCCCCAACGCCAGGGGGCGTCTTTCCCACCCTGTGGGGTAAGATGCCCCCTTTGACTTATTTAAGAAAATGCTTAATAGCAAAAACAGTTATCATATTTCAGGCACGAAAGTGTGATATTTTTGGAGAAAATGATGTCGGCTTCCGTTGAAACTCCAAGTTTTTGCTTTCCGATCGTCATTTTCGAATTATATATGACATAGTAAAACCCTGGGCATCTTTCCCCACTCTCCCCTATGTTTAAAATAGTAACAATGGTCTATCTTTGAGACACCTCACACTCTGAATCAACGACGCTCGACAGGTTACGCTTCGGCCGCGGCCGAGTTTCTCAAATTCATGCTATCCCTGCCGCTAGATGGCCCTAGTAGTGAGCGCCTGCAGTGGTATGCTGTGCCGCATAGCTCGACGCTCCAGTCTTGACGCCAGCGGACGCCAACGGAGCTCCGGCTCATTTTTATTCCACTCGCGGGTAGGAAATGTGACCTTTTGACGTCAATCCAAAGTTATCAGGTAATCAGGCAATCAGGTAATCACCCATCAAATCAGATTCCGGGAAAGCTGTTAGGAATCCCTTAGCTGCTATCAGCCTGTCGGGAACATTACCTGTGAATCAAGCGTGAACTCGTAATTAAACGTTAGAGCCCTATCATCAGTTCCAACTGCCTCCGCTAGTATGAAATTCATCGCCCCAGCCCCATTCCCCGGCTGTTCCCGCTGTCTGACCCTTCCTGTCCTCTCGCCCTGCTTAGCTCCACACAGTGCCCCGCCCCCGGCTGCGAACACGGCGCGATAATGACCGGCGTCGGCCGGTGTCGTCGGCTGCGACGAGGCTCCGTCGACGGCGATCGTCCCCGGGGCCGCCGTTAATTAGCGGGCCGCGCGGCCGATAGTCGGCGCCACTCTGACGCGAATCAATCACCGATGTTCGGGCCTGTTTGTCGCTTCCTCGCCGGCGGGGGGGGGGGGAGGAGGCGCGAGGGTGTCCCGAGTTACAGGTGCGGAGGTGGTGTCCAGGTATAAAGGCGGCGCAAGCCTGGGCGGTAGACAGCAGAGTGAAAGCCACACAGTGGATGCATTGAGAAATAGTTGTTAGCCTCATGGCTTCCGCTATCCGTTTTAGCCTAAAGGCAATTGGATCCTACTTTGTCGGAACAGCAAAACAAGCATAAGCTGCCGCACTTTGTCACATTTATATATTTTTGCGACCAGTTATTTTGCACGAAGAATCGAAACACTGCGCATCATGCGAGTCTATTTAGCGTTAGTCGTTTAGCTTACTTCAAAACATGCATTATAACATGCAAAACATGGATAATAGTTAGTGCCGACAGGTCTGTGGCGGCAGGGATAAATGAGGAGACGCCTGGGAAGCGTTTTGGTAAGGTGTACTCTTTGCTTAAATGCTACCAAAAACGGTCTCAACGAGTACACTGGAATTCACTGAGGACAATTTAAAGTTAATTCACTGTAAACGGACGCACTTAAGCCTAAGCATTCATCTGTTTCCTCTGAAAACGCAGACTTTTGTTGCAGTGTTTGCGTTGATAATGTTTTTCGGCCGCTTATTTGTGGCAACATCCGTGACTTCTAGCTTCTACACAGAACTTGCACACAAACTGTGTCGTGTTGCTGCCGGCTAAACTTTGTCCCATGCAGCTCACTGGACCTATTGTACAGGCGTCTGGCTTCGAAATGAGCCGTCAGACGGAGCATTTCATTATTGCCGACCGTTTCCCACGAACTAGTCCCTGTGACTCTGTTCCGTGTTGGGTCGCATTTATGCATTGTCTAGACCAAGTGAACGGCGACATTTAAATGGAATGTGCTCCAGCTGGAGCGTGTGTCACTTACCAAAGTCACACTTTTCTATTTGCTCTATAGAAAAAACGACACAGGTACTAAAAATATTCAGATGCGCCAGAGAAATATTCGTAAAAGACCTGCCTGGGTCTTTCCGATTCATTGACATATTTTTCGGCGTGTTGCAAGCGAACGTAATTTGTTCGCCATTCTGGCAGTTCTGTATTCATATTGTGCTATCCACGCTTGATGCCACTTTTGAATTCAAACGTTGCAATCAATAGGGAGAGTGTATCATTTTTCATTGCCTTATCCCCCTTTGTATCATGGTCAGCTGCAGTTAGTGAGGAAAGGAGTAGTTGGGACGAAGACATGCTTATTAGACGATGCTGGCCGGTGTTCAGTGCACAATACCAAATAAAAATAAATGCGTTTATCATACGAATCACTACCCTCTTTCGAAAAGAATGAATGAAAAAAAAAACAAGTTTCTCTTAGATCCGAGTCGCAAACACATTTGAAGATAATCATCAAAAGATATCGGCAATATCTGTTCAAATCACGCTTGTTTGTTCTAGTGAATGTCACGGGTCAAGTCAAAGTTTGATCAAAGGCCACAGTAGGTTATTTGATATGATTGGATTTCAGGAGAACAATTTAACAACTGCTAAACAAGGTTCAAACGAAGTCGCACCTTTGTACCAATCACAGTAGGGATCGATGTCAAGGCTAGGTTCAGTTATAAGTTAAATTCAGTTACTTCATTTCAGTTCACTTACAGTTAGTTAAAAACAATGATGTACGCTGAGGGACAATTGAAAACTTGTAACGAGATACACTTATTTCAGTCACGAAAGATAACGATGTAAAGGAATGAGAAAACAAAGAAACATGAGCAAAAAAGGTTAAACTATTATCGGAGTGGCAAATTGCTAATAATTCAATCTAGAAGCATCGAGCAAACATGAAGATGAAATGAATATTACGCACATGCTCTGAGCATTGCATAATAGTGTGATCTATATATTGAGTCTTAAGCTTTGTTGACGAATAAAAATTGATGCAGTTGACGATTGCATCTGGCAAGAAATATATTGAACTGTTTTCAGTTGGAAAAATGAGGAATTTGAATTTATCTACTGCACAACGAAAATGCACATCACAACCTAATTAAGAACAGCCAGTCATTAATTTCTATCTAAGGACAATTCTCCAGCGAACAAAACCCTTCCATTTGCAGGATGTTTGCGAGACATTTTCTATTTGATTTGACATTTGCGGCGTCGGCCCACATCAGTTGTCGAATAGGAGCCGACAGCGACACCAGATGTGACCAACGTTTCGTAATACGTCAGGTTTTACTGCCGCTACTGTCTCTCATATGTGTCTCGAAGTGGTCCACAAATCCAGCGTTGAAAGCATTATTCTGCGGACGGGCCAGTCGGCCGGACAGAGGGGGCGGGGCAGAGGGCGTGAGGAGGGGGAGTGAGGGGTCAGTGAACTGGGAGACAGCCTCAGAGCTGGGATTTGCTTTTGTCGATGTTTGTAACAACAGTCTGCGCCAGTCTGAGTGTAAGTGAGGGTGGGGAGGGAGGAGCAGAGCACCCAGCTGGCGAGGGCACCACCCGGCGCCAGCTGCTCCCTGCTCAACAGATTTTAATTAACTAACTTGTCAGCGGCTCGAGACCGGGCTGATCCATATTAGCTTACTGTTGCCGATAAATATTTATTTCTGGGTAGAACATGTAAGACACATTTTACAATTTATATAAGAAAAAATCAGTTGATTTGATGCAACGTGGCTAGGTGTTGAATGGAATTAAGACCAATGTCACGGCATGGAATGCATGCAATATGCTTTCACCCTACGCCAAGCAAAATGCATGACCATGTAAGTCATCACTGACAACTTACCTTCATTCATAGCTTATATCATCAACTTGACAGTGTTACCAGTTCACACACTTTCTGCTAAAAAATTAACGTCAACGTACTCACCAGTTGGTAGTAGGCCAAAACAAAGCAGCGCCAAGAGACCGCACGAAGCCGTTGCCTGAGACCCGATTCTCTTTGCCATTGTTCGGAGCATAGGCGGTATTTTAGCTCCACAGCACTGTTCAATCGTTTTTCAATGGTACAGAGTTGGTCAGCCGTAAACCACAATTGTCAAAACCATTATCCACGTGATTAGTTCACAAAGACGATGAGTTGCTTCAGCAGTAACTGTCCGCTATCAAAATATGATGAGTGAGAGTCGGAAAGAGTTAAGTCCCAAAAATCACCCGTAGCTCTGAAACAGTCACTCGTAAAGCAACGACTCACATCCAAACAGCAAGGGCTGGCCGGAGCAGTGAGTGCAGTAACAGAAAAGTCCTGTCCTCTGGACACAGTCGAATACAACACCTACGATCTCCTCGGAGCACGCCCGGGCACGACGAGCACAGCGGGCACGGCGCGGCGACGCGGCGCACCCCTGGCCTCGTCGGCGTCGACTGCCGACGTCGACGACGACGACCGGCCTGCCCGCCGACAGCTCGACGGCGCGCGCTGCAAGCTCGGCAGTGCAGCGCGGCGCGCGGGGCTCCGCCAGCGCGGTGGACGGTCTCAGTGACCGCGCTCGTAAAGCCTGGCCAGGAGGTATTGCTGGCGCGATAGCTGTAGCAAGGGAGACGGGCGCCTCAGTGGACGCGGAGAAAAGTGAAGATTAAACCTTAAAATGTTGTTTCGGGAGCGAACGCGTTTTCTTAGAAAGGAGAGGAAAATAAACTATAGGAATCTTAAACCTGCTACACACAAGATCACTGCAGGCTTTGAAAGGGAGAGGAAGATAAGTGATAATTAACAGGCGTCAAATGACACTTGCATTGCAATTCCAAGAAAAAAATATGCATGTAATTTCCTGAAAAAGACTCATTCCTGATATAGAACTCGAGCTATGTTTTCTTAAGTCAGTTTTGTCATTGAAGTCCAGTCATGTTGCATTTCTGTGTGCTGAAGCAGACAGGTCCGGTTAAAGAACGGGCCCTGGCCGCTCAGCAGTCGGCCCGGTCCGCTCGGCCGCTGACGCGCGCTGCTCGGGCCGTGTCTGTCAGTCAGACCTCCAGCCATGTACGGAGATTAGCGGCTGGTGATCGGGTCCTCCAGCCGTCCAGGCACGTACCGACGTCTGACGCTCGACGCCCGGCGGTACTTCTGCGAACGAGCACCCCCGACGGAGCATCGGCCCACGCGATGGCGGCGGATCGTCGACTCACAGAGCCAGTGTCGAATTCGACGTGATTTAAAACATAGCGCCGTGGGTGGTGCTGGTGAATAAAAGTTAGCACGGCCGAGAGAATTCGTCACCACCCACCACCAGCTGTGATTTGGCTGGCAAAATGGGATTAGGATGGATTAGAGAATTAGGCAGGCGCCCGGTGTGACCTTTCAGTGTGGCTGGAGAGGGCAGCTGACCCATCTTGACCAAACTATTAACCCGCGCCCCGTTGGGCTCTGCCGAGCAACGCGCCCCGTTGGGGGGGGGGCCATTTTGGCCCCCCCCTAAGATCTCAAGAACCACGCAACCTAGCGACAAGCGGCAAACGGTGTTGGATAGCCCTATCAGGGAACTACCTTGTGACCCAATTTTATTGACCTAGGTCAAACCGATGACGTCACAGGTCAGGTCAAAGGTCGAATTTTCACCGTTTACAGGCATTTCAAGAAATGCGTTGTAAAATCGAGTAAAATGCATTTCATTGAAAATCATCGATGGGGACATGTTCTTCAAACACATATTTTGCTATTTGAGGTCAATGATACCAGGTCAGGTCACAGAGGTCAGGTCACTGGGGGGTCACAATATGAAAGTGTCGTGTGATACATGTTTTATGGTCCATTTTACATGACAAATGCGATTATGTGGGTCAGGCAGCCCTTAGGGCCAGCTTTGGTCACGTTTTGGTCAAGGTCAGGTCAAGGTCAGGTCAAGGTCAGGTCAAATTAGGTCAAATTTCAAAGTTGATATTTTTGCATAAAATGGGTATTGAATCGATGCAGCTCGTCACGGGGAGTTCAATGGTGGTCTTTGTTTTGCCGTACGTGGTCTATGTAGAATCGCTAAAAATTGAGTTCAAAAATTTGACGTCATCATTTTTGAACAGTTTTTTCGCTATAACTTGGCCAAAAAACGAGATATCGATCTGAAATTCGGTATGTATATAGAAGAGCGTAGGGACTACGACATATATACCGTTTTTTTTCGAAATTCGGAAAATTTTTGGATTTTTTAAAGTTTTTTTTTCTAAAAAAAATCAATTTTTTGATTTTTTTTTTGGTCAAAAACCCAAAATTTTAAAAATCCGAGATAACAGTTTTGTAGCGCCGCTTTTTGTCTACTAGATCATATAAAGAACTTTGAAATTGCTTGATAACTGTAGATTTGGTGAGCGTTTAAAGATTGCATGTTTTTTGCTCATTTTTGCTCGAACATGACCTCAGTTTGACCTCAATAACTCCTGACCTAAGGTGACCTAAGACTTGAAATTTTGTGTGAAGGTGTCAAATTGATGCTCTGGAAGGTACTGAAAATTTGGCAGTGCTGCGCGCCGCCGTTTTCTTGCTATTCAGGAAAAACCACAGGGGGGGGCCAAAATGGCCCCCCCAACGGGGCGAGGGTTATTTATCGAGCTGCAAAGTAAATGCAACGCTCGGAAAAATGGCTAAGTGCTTTCTTAACTGAAGCAGAGAGATAGCGCCCACGCAGCCTGGACTTGACGGTCTGTGATAACCGTATCTAGACTGGTTCACAAACGTAAGCCGAGGCATGCACTAGCTGAATCTCCGTACTTTGAAAAGGAGCGTGTCTTTGATTATGTGTTCTTCATGATTATTCAGTCAACTTATTTATTAGAAAGAAATTGACACAGATTTTAGAAAATGGATTTCAATTGTATGCGCCCTTCTCACTTTTTTCGCCTCATACTTGTCTGCAGATGTGCATTCATGCCCGTCTCCTTGGTTTGCTAACAAGTTTCATGGATGATTTTGTTTATATCCAGCATCCATTAGCATCGAGTGGGCTCCTTCGCAACTCGAGTGCGCAATGTGTGATCACTACCATTATATTCATGTGTGATATGAACCCAGTGAACATCAAGTGCCGCTTCACAGTCACGACGTACCTAGTGTTCTGTGAAATACTACGTGCACCAATGAAAACAGCATGCATCCTTGCGCCAGAATGAACCTTATGCCTTACAGCTAAGAACGATCACAATGAAACGGTAACGATTCGGTAAATTATATAGGACGAATGGAGCGCGTCTCCCCCAGAACGCATCAGATTGATAAAGTAGTATTGCAGAAATGGAGGACGATCATTAAAAGCTTACAATGTAGCCAACTGAAAGGTCATATACAATGTTGTCGTAATATTTTCACCTTGATGGACCAATTTTCTGAGACAATGCATCATTGCTTACAGTTCAGTGACTTGCATGCAGCCAAGTCATGCACTAACGCACAACTTTGCAGGCTCGTAGTGGGCCAAACATAAATCAAACTGGGCTGGCCATGCAGGTCCATAATAATTCGGCAGGCTCTGTCGGTCCATGGGGCTCTGATCAATGCTTTACAGCGACACAACCCGCTAGACCGCCGTGCCGACCACGAAAATGTCAAACCAGCATTTTCCCAACCGCTGCGTGCATATTTCTTGTCCTCACCTGGCTACCAAAAAATAAATGGGAAATGATTAATATTATTGAAAGGGAACGTAATTTCAGTAAGTAAAACTTCTGCCCAAAGGCTCTGATTTTTTTTTACTTACAAATTAATTAATTTGACAGAGACTTTAAAATGCGGTACTGTAAATGCATTTTCAATCATTTCATCGAATAAAAACACAATGACCACGCATACTTGCAGCCGCAACACTGCTGCTTGCAGGGTTTCGCCAACCATTACACCAATCTGAAGCACCTCCTGCTCCACGAGGCCGACGAGATGGTCGGTGGCACCATTTCCAATCAGACCGGCCTGGCTCCCTGTGCGGCCGGCCGGCCCACCCGGGCCATCACCTCAGCCGGCGCGGTCACCGGCGGTCACGTGACCCGTCCACCGGCCGACGCCCTCGGGGCACTGCAGACGGCCGCCCGGAGCCCGCGTCGACTGTTCGGGCCCGACCGCAAATTGGACTCGCGCCGCCGAGACAGCGGAGGGAGGGGCGGGGGGGAGAGGTAATACGACACGCAGTGAGACTAGCTAGAGGAACGGTGTCGGATCGGACGAAAGATATCCGAAAGAGCGTGGTAAGGTGCGTGCCTTTGATTTAAACAAATTGAGGATTTTGTAGTCGAATGATCGAGTGAGCCGAACTGAGAAAGGTATAATAATTCAATGCTCAAAAATATATAATCATTAGTGATATCATTACACAAACATTGAAATCGAGAGAGAGAGAGAGAGAGAGAGAGAGAGAGAGAGAGAGAGAGAGAGAGAGAGAGAGAGAGAGAGAGAGAGAGAGAGAGAGAGAGAGAGAGAGAGAGAGAGAGAGAGAGAGAGAGAGAGAGAGAGAGAGAGAGAGAGAGAGAGAGAGCAGGGGAGAGGGGAGTGAGAGAGAAGGAGAAAGAGGGTCTCTTCAGCGGAAGCGTGGCCAGATCACACTCTTCTGGTGTTCGTCAGCCGCAAACAGCCGGCGGCGTCATCGGCACCGACGGATGACAAGGCCCTCCCGGCGACCTGTCGTTGGCGTTCGGGATCAAACAAACCCTATCGGAGTCGGTGTTTGCAGGCTCAGTGGACCGACGCATTTGCGGACATCCGGTGTCTTCTTCCGGTCGGATCGGATGGTGCTCTGTCTCCTCACTCTCACATATCTCTCTCTCTCACTCTCTCTCTCTCTCTCTCTCTCTCTCTCTCTCTCTCTCTCTCTCTCTCTCTCTCTCTCTCTCTCTCTCTCTCTCTCACACATCTCTCTCCCTCTCTCTCTTTTCTTTTCACTCTCCTTCTTTCTCTCTCTGTCTCACTCATATTTGTTTTTTTTTCTCTCACTCTCTCTCTCTCTCTCTCTCTCTCTCTCTCTCTCTCTCTCTCTCTCTCTCTCCTTTCGCCCTCCTCTGCTCGGTGCGACCCCATCTACCCTCGACCCTAGTAGCCTGAGGGTAAATAACGCAGACAGCCCGAGGCGGTCGTACCGACGGCCAGACACGCCGAGCCCTCCCCTCTCTCCCCTTCCCCCACCCCGCCCCGCATCCGTCCCCGATGATATCCAACAAACAAAGACTGAGTCCTACCACAAACGAACGCATAGGCGCAATCATTTACGACTCATCTTGGGGAAAGGATTAGCCAGAACGACAGTACAAAATGTCTCGATGACGATTCATGTAATAAAATAGGATATGTTTTGGTGATTTATCGCTGACTTGATGGGTTGATTAGCTATTTT